CCTCAGACTTTCAGGAAGCTCCTGCTCTACAATTTGAAGAAGCTTGTGGCTTCTGGTAAGCTCGTCAAGGTTAAGAACTCATTCAAGCTCCCTCCTGGTCGCTCGGCTCCGGTGAAAGAGAAGCCAGACGCGCCCAAGCCTAAAAAGTCTGCTGAGGCGGTTGTCAAGCCTAAGCCTAAGCCGAAGCCGAAAACGGTTGCTAAGCCCAAGGCCAAGGTCGCGGCTAAGCCTAAGCCCAAAGCGGCTGCAAAGCCTAAGCTTAAGGCAGTGGCTGCTAAACCAAAGGCGGCTGTGAAACCGAAGGCGAAGCCAGCCGCTGCCAAGCCGGCTGCTAAGGTTGCGAGAACATCAACGAGGACGTCGCCGGGAAAGAAGGTGGAGGTGAAGGCGAAGGCGAAGAAGCCGGTGGCTTCGGCCAGGGCAGTGAAGAAGCCAAAGAGCGTGAAATCTCCGGTGAAGAAGAAAGCTCAGGCGAAGAAGGGGAAGAAGTGAGGGTCTAGAGAGAAGTTCATAGCTTTCGTTTTCAGAGGGGTAGTTTGTGTAAATTGGTTTGATAATGAATAGTTTGTTTGACACGGAATTTGTAGGTTTTTTTTAAATCTTCTGTTCTTTCTTTTTCCACAACTTCTATGGTTGTTATTTGGTGACTCTCTTTTGTATTATGAAATTAGATAAGACGCTGATTCCAGTTCTTAACAAACAACTTGCAACATCAAAATTCTTCTAATTGTCAAAGCAAAGATTCAAAATTGATACACATTCACAGGCATTTTAGCTTCATTGGTTATCTTATACTGAGAGATATGAGGCAAAACTTGATCCTTTTTTATCTTGCCTTCCCAGTTTTGTGTGAAGCAAATACAAACAAATGTGTTTTTAAGTGGTAAGTTGGTATGATTGTTGTTGGGTAGGCATCTGTGTTTGTGTTTGAGACTCCAACCCTGGAAACTGTCCAATATCATGACCTCTTAGTGGTTGAAACTCATTGCGTAAACCAACAGCAAACTCTTCAGGGCGGCCTCCGCTACTTTGGAAATAGTCTGCCATCTGATTTCACAAAAGCAATCATCTTTAAATTGAATGAAATAAGTTACTTTGGTGACCTTTCTGTCTTTGTTTTTCTTGGTCTTTAATGAAAATTCAAATGCATGATTAAGAAAACCCAGAAATTGGCAGAGGCACTTACATGATTGGCAAGAGAGATTCCACTTAAGGCTGCTGACTCTAGATTTGAACCCAGTAACCAATCTCCACATATACCAGCCCTTCCAAGAGGATCAAAGATACAGGGGATACCAGGTGTATTTGTTGGAAGTGCCGCACCCCTGGCATATCAAACAACACACCAAATATGATATATAACTCCTCTCAAGATCACACAAGCATTTCCTACTACAACTAAGCATTAACATGATGACTAAACATCCGCATATAATAATCGCTAAGCGCAGCTTCTCACCATAATTGGATTCGAGTATAAAAGGGTTTCTGAAGTGATCCTTTTGGTAATCCCAGTGCTTCTTCCACTCCCACGAGCATGCCTGCCTTCACCTTCTCTGCTGTGGCATTTGGTATATTCTCCTGTTAATCAACAGTTGGCGCAATAAGTTTGTTTGGCAACATCCACCAAAATGTTGGTCTACCAGTCTTCTAAATTGGAAAACCTCATAACTCTTATTCATTTCATTTCAAGTAATGGTCAGAGGCATTTAATCTGTGCTTGTGTGAACATATGGCTGTATTTGCATTGAAACAAACCTGTGGAACCTTGTTCCGCTTTGCATAAGCTGCAGTACTAAGAAAGGTCCAACAGTGAGGACCATTACTATGGGAACACTGTAGTTTTTTGGTATTATTTGCCATCCATGAGATGGAATCAATCCCTTTTACAAAAGCTCCTTCAAAAGGAAATGCTCCTTCACCAGGAATTTGAAGTGGATCCTCAAATGCTGCGAGGAGGGCCCATATAGAACTCAATTCCAGTCTCTACTGGCATCAAACAGAAAGGCATTAGAAGAACATAGTTCAAGACAATTCAATCTTGATGTCAAAAGGGTAATTGAAGTAGACTTTGTGGTGCCAAATGAACTGGACGCATAAATTTAAGATATACCTTCATTTGTCCAGCAATTAGTGGTAAGCCTGATGACCCAAGCAAGCGGTTTGCACATTTCCCTATTGGCAATTCAAATTAAATAGAAGGGTAAACACGCATACACAAGCACATGAAGGAAAGTCCCCATATCATGCAATTTTGAGACACCCTCTTCAAGAAGGAATGAAAAGGAAACAAAAACTTAAGGTTTCCAGATTTCATATGATGTGAAGTTACAGTAGCAACTGAAAATTAAACTTAGAAGAAACCCAAAGGTAGTAAGTTACCATTATGTGCAATAACAATAGCATCAAACTTCCCACGTGGTTTTCCATTCTCACTCAAATGCCACATCCCATTGAAGGGCTCAAGTTTACTTATCCAGCAAGGTCTCTCCACATTAATCATACGAGTCTGCACCAAGTATCAACATTCGAATTAGCTCTGAAGTGTGATGCTAAGAGGAATTAAGAGCCTCAAAGCATAAGGGTAAAAAGCCAAGTATGTTTACTAAAGATGAGACCATAAGTTTCAGGCTATAATCATAACAAACGTTTCTCCATTTTTTAAACTCCTGACTGAAGTAAACATATCTTCACAAGTCCAACCATGCCACTGAAGCAAGTAAATGTTATTATATTTTGACAAGTCTAACCATGCTACCGAAACAACTAAATTTTATGTTTACAGATATGGAGCTTTCAATTTCAACTATCATCATACCATCTCTATGCCTAAACTGATGATTCACTGGTCCAGCGAAGGAAAAGGAAAAGCACAAAAAGAAAGCAGGAAAACTTGAAGGTTAATGTACCTGAGAAAGTAACGAGTCAGCAATGGGGCGCATTCCATTAACACCTATATATCTTGGAGGAGAAGAAGGAAGTGGAACAAAATGACCACCCACTTCAAGCTCTCCAATTGTACCCTGCCATTCCCGAACCAGACCTTGCTCCAACCAACCTTGAACCAACCCAGCAAACTGAGGATCACTGGCTGTAAAGAACTGAGCCGCATGATCAAATATCAGAGGCTGAGGATCTACTATCCTGGTTCCCATTCTTCCTCCCAAACCATGAACACCCTATGATAGCAAATCACTGTTATGTGGCACTGGAAAGATTGGAAGACAAATCCAACTTTCAAAACCATAATTTGGCAATCATAACTAAACATGCATTAATTTGATAGTGGGTTCTCTGAAAGATTTTTTCTCTGTCTCTTTAAATACTAACAAGCATAGTAAAGGAGTAAGCTTTTTCGCAATATCTTATCCACCCATGAAAATGAGAGTAAAATATCAAAAGTAAAATATATATAAAAATCCAGACAAACTGAAAGTATAAAATTCAGAAAACCCACATTAAATTAATTGTTACTAAGTACAGAAAGCTAATAACTTGAAGGAAAAAAAGTGACCAACCGTGTCAAAAACGGTGGAGCGGACACCGCGTTTTTCCAGATAGAGAGCACAAGCGAGACCAGCCATGCCTCCGCCGATTATACCAACAATGGGGTCATCAGGGATTGGAGTAGTGAAGGTCACCTGCTCTTGCTTGAGTGTTTTCTGAATTGACCTTCTTGACGCACCATAGTTCTTACGGTTCCTAAAGGCGGGTCTTTGGCCATCCACGGTGGGTCGTTTCCTGGGTGGTGGTTTGGGTTGGGTAGAGCAGACTATAGTTAGGGGCTTGTGGATTTTGAGGGGTTGGAGGATGAGAGAAGAGTGAAAGTAGCAGAGCATTGTTGCGTTGGGGGGAGTTTTTGGAGGGAGAGAGATTATACAACGGAGATGGGTGGAGATTAAAGCTCACTTGGCGGCTTGGCCCAGTTTAAGCCTATTTCAAAGCTTCTTCATGTCATTTAAAAAAAAAAAATTATAGACTATTATCGATTTAAAAGATATTTAGTTATATACCTATTCTTAGCATTAATAATATAGATAAATCCTATATAATTTAATTTCTATAAACAAACCCAAAAAAGACCCTATTGAATTTAATTTTAATTATTAAATTACTTTGATACCCCACTGAGTCAATATAATATAGATAAATCGATAATAGATAAATCCTATATCATTTAATTTCTATAAACAAACCCAAAAAAGACCCTATTGAATTTAATTTTGATTATTAAATTACTTTGATACCCCACTGAGTGTTTTGAGTTTTTTTTAATGAGATTTTGAGGTTGGGTTTGTTTTAAGAAATGAATGGCAGTTTTATAATTAAAAGAAGTTAAAAGCCTTTTTGTTATGTTGTAAATGGACTTTGGGTGTGTTTCTAAAGTCCTTTCTATATAATATAAATAAATTGATAATAGATAAATCCTATATCATTTAATTTCTATAAACAAACTCAAAAAAGACCCTATTGAATTTAATTTTGATTATTAAATTACTTTGATACCTCACTGAGTGTTTTGAGTTTTTTTATGAGATTTTGAGGTTGGGTTTGTTTTAAGAAATGAATGGCAGTTTTATAATTAAAAGAAGTTAAAAGCCTTTTTGTTATGTTGTAAATGGACTTTGGGTGTGTTTCTAAAGTCCTTTCTATATAGAGTTTTTCTATAATTTGGGCTCTTATATTGGGTATAATAGTGAATCTCCCTTAAATATATCATATTTTTAATTTCCTGCCATGCTAATTTTTGCTTTGTGTGTCTGATTGTTGAAGAGTGGTAAAACAAGAAGGTGAAAAAGAAGAAGAAATTTAATAACACGACCAATATTTCAGGTTCATCATATAAGAATAACAAGGGGGACAAACAAAATAAATAATTAAAAATGGATAAACTCTTCAAGGAGAGTAAAACAACAAATTTTATCCATACTAGAATGGATAAACTCTTTTTTATATATAACATGATATGTACCAGTACCGGTTTTAACTTACAAAACATATACAATTCACCATAACACAAACCACGTAAACAAGTCAATTTGTGGAGGAAAGAAAAACAAGCTATTTCTCTTCAGTACATCCAAATGTAAAACACCAAATTCAAAGATCCTTTTTCCCACTTTTAGTTAGAAAAAGCTTTCAAGTCCATCAGTGATCTTAGGAGATGTTTCCGTTGGTTCCTTTTCCTGTTTCAATTGGTCTTTGGCCTTGGAACTGCCCATGCTGTTTCGTCTACCGGACTGAGCCTTATTTATCGGAGTCGTGGATGCAGTGCTTTCTTCTTTCTGACTACCGAGGCTGTGACGTTGTTCCCGAGAACAAACTCTTCTTTTTTCCTCCGCAGACGAGCTGAGTGCATCACCACAGCTCTTTCTCCGGCTGAGACTGTTTAGTTTTGGTGACTTGGGCCGAGTGAGTGGAAGCTGGATCATATACAAGAACAAAAAATACAGATTAATTGCATTAAATCAAGTTCCAAGCCTCTGTTCTTTACTTTTATTTTGAGTCAACCTGTGCATCATGAGTTTTTTTTCTTCTTCTCTTTTTGGCCAATTTAAAAACATTTAGAGCTTAAAGGGAGTCAAGCACAACTAAGAATACTTAAATTAGCTACCTTCTTGAGTTCAGTCTTAGGAGGAGGCGCCTGATAATAGAAATTAGGTACTGGATTTGCTTTGAACACCATGCTCTTCCTCAGCGCCTTGATGGCTGCTTCTTGCTCTTCCTGAAAGTGTCATGGGAAGAAAATGCAAAATATGACTTTTCAAACAGATCTCATCATATGCGGAACAATTAACACCAAAAGAAAACAGAGATCCATATGACACCAGTGCACATTGCACAAGAAAATGATAGATACTACAGGAAGTGATGTACCTTGGCCCTGGCTTCCCACTGGCTTCTCTCTGACTCCAGAGCTTGGTGCTTTTCCTCTAACTTCGAGTAGAACTAGATGAAGGGAATCATGTAAATCACAAGTTAAATGCAATACGATTGTGTTGATTAAAAGTATTCTTCAGGATACACATCACAGTCACTTATTTTATTATGACAGTACCTCCTTCCTTTTCTCTGCACGTTCATAGCATCTAAACGAGGGAGCTTGTCCAACCGTAACCTTGAATTTAGGTGTTCTCACAGATGCAGCAGTTCTATTCTTGGCTAAGGATAACCCAAGTGGGATACACAATTTCTAATATATGCATGAACAAAAAAACAAAACAAAAAACCAAATTCAAACGTCAACCAAGGATACGAGGAAGTAACAGACAAATTATCTTCTTCGTCAGCATGCTTCTTATTATCAGGTTGCGGGCCCTTTCGTGATGATGACTGAGGTGAAGTTGGCTGAAACGAAATGGAAAAAAATTTGGAAATCAGAGCCATCCCAAATCTACAATAACATTGCAAAAGTCTTTACAAGCAAAAGTCCATGATTCTTCTCAGTTTCATTCACTTCATCCCAAAACATAAAGGGTTTTGTTTAATTTTTCTGTTAGAATTCTTTTTGCCCTAACCAAATAGCAATGGGAAACTACTAGAGAAAGCCAAAAAAAACAGAGAACCCAAAAACATCTGCCTATAAATTTTACCTGTGAACTCTTAGGAGACTCTGCATTAGGAGACTGTGGACTCTTAGTAGCTGTAGGAGCCTGTGGACTCTTAGTAGCTGTAGGAGACTGAGAACTCTCAGTAGCTGTAGGAGACTGTGAACTCTTAGTAGCATCAGCAGACTTTGTATTGCTGGAATTTGCAGAAGTGGCAGTTTCAGCCCCAACAGCCTTATTTGAATGCCCATTTCCCAAAGCAACGGATTTTAAAGCAGGTGAGCGTGAATTTTTATTGTCACTCGACTTCTGAGTTCCGAGTTTCTCATTTTTGCCTTCAGTCAAGTCATCATCAAGATTTGTGCTCTTAACAGCCAGCACATCTTGATTCTCAACAGATTCCCCAACAACTTTGTTTTCTTCGATACGGTCCTTCACCTTGTAATCCTTTGATTCAATGCTTTCCTCTGAAATTTTGGGAGCAACATGAACTTTACCATGAGAAAAACCATTTGCAGACACTACAACACCGTTAATCTTCTTCACCTTCTCCACCTTTACACCAGTAACTTCCCTCCCCATGACGCTGCATGAGAAAACTACAGGCTGAGCATCACGAGACTAGAGGAAAATTACATTATCACTGACAAAAACCAAATAGGCTCTTTTGATAAGCTAAGATAAAATGACTAAGCATTACTTATGTACAAGTAAATTATTTTATCTGCAATGTGTTCTTCACATTGACTGAAAAACATATGGAGCTTTATCTCTGGAAAAACATGTCAAATTAAACTAAGACTTTTTAGAGGCATCTTACTATCCATGTCACGATGCCAATTACATCCGATGACAGAGTTTTTAAAAATAAAAAATAAAAACAAAAAGCATTGAAACTTTTCCGTGTTCAGCACACTGCATCAAACATAAAATTGCAAATCTGTAACTCTAAAAGTTTATAAAGAAACACATGAACCAAAAAAAGAAGAATGAGTAAAAGAGGTTTTAAACAACATAAAAATAGATCCACAAATATAATCCTCTGATGGACCTGAAAAAGACTAGCCACCACAAAAATATAAAGTAAATGGAGGATAGCCTAAATGGAAATGATGTACTCGAGAAGAAGTTAAGCAAACGACATAAATCTGGAGAGAGAGAGAGAGAGAGAGAGAGAGAGAGAGAACTCCAAGTTTTTCCTCTTTAAATTAGGATTTTCCATTCTAGCAGGTGGACCGATAATCTAAAATATTCAAGCATTTATGTTTTACATAAAATTATGTGATTTTCAAAATACAACACAGACGACGAGTTGGATAATCATCCAGAAGCTCCCAAGGAAATTCCATAGAGAAGGTAAAAATGGTTCAGAAAAGGGAAAATCCATCCATCTACAAGAATATTCACGTTGATTAAGACATAAAAGTTAAGAAATTAGGAAAGCAAATGAACAAGATATCTAAAATGAATTAAGCCCAACACAACGAGAAGCACAGAAAACCATTAATAAGGTTAAAGTAACAATTATAAAAGCTAAACTAACAGAAGGCCTTCCTAACTCATAGACATAGGATAAGAGCTGTAGTTAATATTCTTCAATGAATCTTGAGGGGTGGAGGGCGGCTTCAATTTTAAGGAAAAAATCAAGATGGCAATTATAAACTTGATTGAGTAAACAAATACAAGCAAACCCCATAAACTACAAGCACAAAAGCATTGACAACAAGAAAAGGCTTTTTTTTTTTTCATTTCTGAGCTAATATTCACCTTCACATCACCAGAACAAATACGAAAAACAAGTCAACAGTTTGAGTCCCCAGAAAACGAAGAGCCAAAAGAAAAAAATTCCTCATTTAAGAAAAATACTCCAAAAAAAATTAAAAACTCCATTCTGCACAAAACAGAGAAATATCCATTAAAGGAAAACAGAGAAATAAGAAGTAAAAGAGAAAGAGAGAGCCTGAAGCTGAAAGCTTTGCAGCAAAAAGCTCAAATTGAAAGCCAAAACAATAAATATCAAGACACATTGCAGAAACCCCCTTAAACAAACACATCAATGGCAAAACTAAGAATGTGAGAGATTTCTCTTACAGTTTCTGGTCCCGATCTGACAAGATCTCCAACCCCTCTCTCTGTTTCTAAAAAATGTATATTTTCTTCTGTGTTCTTCTCTTTTTCTCTCAAGCTGCTGAGAGAAGGGTCTCCTCAATTCTCATACTATTATTGTTTTGTTTTTGGTTTTATGTGCTGCGCTGTTTGGCTATATATAGACCGGTCTTTTTCCTTCTAGTTCCAATTTCCAAACGCCGTTAAAGCGTTTTTACGGGAATGTGGTTTTTTATGTTTATTTTATTTTAACGGGGTTTGAAAAATCTGTAGGAAAAAATATGAGCGATTCACCACCCTACGTGGTGTTGGGTAGTAAAAAACAGAAACTTCTGTTGGGTATTCAAAGTCATCCATCCCCAATTTGCTTTGGTGTTAGAGAATGAAGATAACAAATGCTCAAAGCGGAAATTCCCCAAATAAGGTGAGAAATTTATGGGCAGGTAGATGTGGTAATATTTGAGCATGCCTACTTCAATTTAATAAAGGGTATGAGAATACTTTCATATTGAAAATAAATTATACAATAAACAAAATTATTTATAGAAGAAATTAAATAATTATAATATGTTTATTTATGGTAATAGAAATAAATCTATAATGGGCGTTGTGGGGCACAAATAACAATGGAGGGGAACGTGGAGGCCGTAATGTCTGCGGCAGAGGAGCCCAAACGTTGAACATTCAACGTTATATACGGTGCAACGTGGAATCTTTGTTGAAACAATTTTCTATTTATTTTAGTCTTAGTTTGTATTTTTGTAATTGTTGTTTACTAAATTTTGTAAGGTTCTTGCTTGTTTGCTTAGAGTGGCCACATCTCGTTTTTCATGAGCCAATTTGCGGAGATTCTTCGAAAGTATTTCTCCATCTCGATGTCACCAACCCTCTCTTCTTATTTCTCTCATCAAGTGATTGATGAAATGAACAGAAAAATAAGAAGAAAGAACAATGATATTTAATGACTTAGAGTGGCCACATCTCGTTTGTCATGAGCCAATTTGCGGAGATTCTTCGAAAGTATTTCTCCATCTCGATGTCACCAACCCTCTCTTCTTATTTCTCTCATCAAGTGATTGATGAAATGAACAGAAAAATAAGAAGAAAGAACAATGATATTTAATGACGTGATGAGAAATAGGAAGAGAAGACAGTGACACCGAACTTCTTAAACTCAAAGGATTTGCGCTTAACATTAGCCTTACATACATACATTATATATATATATATATATATATATATGTTTGTGTGTAATAGTAATACTTGAGTTAATATTTCACCTATAAAGTTTTATGGAGTTTAATACTTTGGACCTGCCCTTCTCTCCCTGGCCTCTGCCAATAAATCTTGGCTAGGTGGTCTGTCACTTAAATGAGTTGAATGTCCGTACACAAAGTTGAGCTCCTCAGTATACTGCATTGCTTGCATGCATATACCAAGAAAGTCTGATGATTCTTTATTTGCAAGAGTAAATGAGTAAATATAGAAAACAGAAGCTACATACAAAAACCCCGTGAAATATTAAGTGCAAGCGTTATCTATTTCACATGAATTTTCTGAAAACTGGGAGGTGTTTGATGGCCTTGTGTCTCTCTCTCTCTCTCTCTCTCTCTCTCTCTCTCTCTCTCTCTCTCATTGTTTTCAAAATTTGTGAAAATTATTATATAATTGTATGAAAAGTTGAGTTTCAAGTAGCAACTGGTTTGTTGGTACCGTCATGCAGAAGCCTTGTGCTAGCATTTCACTTTAAGCAAAGAAAGATGGAGTTGCTTTTTGTGTAAATTCAATTTGTGCTCTCTGTCATCAGTCTCTGTGTTTCTTTCTCTCTCCATTGTCATCATATTTCCCCACACTAATAATGAGTTGTTGCATTGGCATATTTATGAAGGTTTTTCCTTTTATGTTTTTGGTCCTCAACCTCAACCGCCCTTTCCATTTGAATTTGAAGTAGTAGTACTAGTAGGGTATGTATGTTTAGTCAAGGTGGTCCGAGGATTCTCAGGTCATAGTCAGCCTATATATGGATTAGGTCTTACTGATTTACAGTTAAGAATTTGATTAAGCTTGGTTAGTAAAAATTATATATGGTCAAACCTATTATTCAAGCCTAATAGTCTTGGAAGGCTTTCTAATCTACTGGTTTGCTTCGGAAGGCTTTCAAATTACACATATATAGGGTTTATTGAAATCAAAGTGTGAATAGCAAGGCAAGGTATTGAAATGAAAGGGGCATTTTGTGCATGATCCGCAGCAGGTACAAGATTGACAGCAACAACTTACCTCTTTTTTCTTATTTATAGTGGCTACTGGGACTGGCTAGGCTACAAATATATATTTAAATATGAAGTTGATGTACTGTTGAGCTCTCCTTTCATGACGTTCAATCTTTTGAATATTCAAAGCCTCGGCTCGATAAAGTCAAAAAAGCTCAATTGCTTGTCTGTTTCCTTTGAAATTTTTCTGCAACGATCTACTTTCTTCTTTCCACAAACACAATCAAAATTTAATTAAGCTGTTTTTAGTTTCTCTACTTTTCTCACACCAGAAGATACATACATACATATATATATATATATAGACGGGGGTGGGGAAGTGGGGGACCTCTGGCTCTATGTATATTAATTAGCTTAGCTAGTCTCCTTCATAAATAGTTCATGGAATGGAATGGAATATTGAATATTTTGCTGTTGATTCATATCTACCAGACACAAATAAAAGTGGTTCTCATTCTCATCATACTTAGTACTTACTTATTTTGCTGTTGATTATTAATTCTACCAAATTTAAACTCATATGCATGCATGTATGAATAGAATTTCAACCGACATCTTTAATTAGTTGGTCAGATTAAGACAACAACTGATAAATTATATTATAATGCTAATTAAAATAGTTTACTAAAGAATGAAAGAATACGTACGCTGCTGATTTCATCTGCTTATTCTGAATTTAATCTGCTTTTTCTGGGTAGGGTAGCTACTAGCTTGAAGCTTTTTAATTCAGTGGGAACCAGCTGCTGATTCATGTCAACTTCCTTGGATCACTTTACTGTAAAGTTCATTTCACTATTCATTTCATGGGGTTTAGGCCATAATTACTTTGACTTTCCTGCTTCAAATTAATTCACCGTGTTTGGTTGAACTTGAAACTGTAAAGAAAACAAGTAATGGGAGAAAGAAAAAAAAGAAGATTGACTTTCGAAAGAAATTGGTTTGATGGATATATTCTAATTTGTCAAAACACCATTGCCTATAATTATGGAGCCTTCATTAGCCACCAATAGACAGATGAGGTTACAACTTAGAAACCAAACGCATTGACGTTTTCATTGTTGGGTTGGGTTGGATCAGATTGAAGAAAGAGTCACTCCAAGTAGACGGGAACACAATCATGGCACTAAGGACATATGCAAATGATGAAAAAAGATCAACATTCCTATTTGAATATTATTGTCGGTGCATTCATAACCTCCAAATTACAGAAATGAATCAAATGAAATCCAACATCTTGCACATGCCCCATGCTGCTTTCTCAATCTTAATCCCCAAATCAATGGGACAATCATAATTAATTAAGTCGTCTTCTTCTTCTTCTTTAAATCTTTTATTTTAAAAGATTGCAGTAATTTTATTTAAATGAAGCAAGGATTTGTCAACATTGTCGGTCTCTTGACAATCTGTGTACGAAGCAGAGACTATTCATGGATAGGATTTCTACTCTTCTTTACTTTCACTTTCACTTTCACTTTCACATAGGTAGGGGCTAGTAGGGGACCATATATAATTGCACTCCCTAAGTAAGTACCCTTCATCATGCACGTAAGAAGGCCATGTTTACTTACTTCAAAATAAAAAGTTATGAATCAAGATTCAAGGAGGTTATGAATCTTTGACATAAAAAAGGGGGTATCCATGATATTTCAAGTATTAGATTATGAATTCATAAAGTGTGTTGAGAATGTTTGTCCCACATTGAAATGTTAAGGGACCTAACCTGGGTTTATAAGGAGTTGGGCCACTCTCCCCCCAATTGTTAATTGGTTTTGGGGTGGAACCTTAACTTTCTTCATGGTATCAGAGCAAGCAAGGCATCATTTGTTGGACCCAACGGCCACACATGCTCACATATCACTCAATATGTGTTGTCCACATGTTAGGTTTAAAATTTATGCACACGTGCGGGGTCGTGTTGAGAGTGTTTGTCTCGCATTGAAATGTTAAGGGACCTAATTTGGGTTTATAAGGAGTTGAGCCACTTCCCCCCATCACCAATTGGTTTTAGGATGGAATCTCAACTTCGTTCAAAGTGCAACTCATATTTATGGAAAATTAAAAATCAAAATAATTTCAATCATTTTCACAAATAAATAAAGACAAAATTGAAAAAATGTAAACAAATTTAGACATATGTATATAGTCAATGAAAATAGTCATCTCCCTTGGCATTATTATTGTGTTCAATTGTTATCAAAAAAAGATTGTGTACAATTGCTGGCAGCCCCACTTCTCCATGAATTTTGCATCGAAAATGACAATTCACTAGAAATTGTTGTCACAATTTTTTGTTTGGTTTCATTTTATATATTAATTATATAACCAACCTTTCCTTGTGACAGGAATATTTAACCAACCTTAATTAAATCATTTTCTTGAGCTATATAGCAATGCCAGCATCCCACCCAACTATTTGTGCACGTGTAAGTAATTCTGAAAATAAAAAGAATATTAAATATGTCCCACGTAAACGAAGCAAATTTTGGAACAACTTCTCTTTGTTGGATCATACAAGAGATTTTGTTTGGACCACGGAATTCCATGGATGGACACTCTCCAACACTGTCGGTTATATTTTTTTAATTTTATAAAAATTGTAAATCTTTGTTTTTGGGCCAAGAATGATCAGCTAGTAGATCACAGGCCCACATTCAAAAAGCCCATTGGACTAAATTCAGGCCCACCGCATACTGCAAAATAACGGCCTCCATTCCTTGGGATCCTAACTGCCAAACAGATGACTCCGTCTGCTCACCAATTGCAGACCACCACGCGTTCTCTCCCGATTGGGTCCTCCACCAATACTCCCGCGCCATTATAAACCTCCATCCGTAACGGAACTCCGCTAACCTTGCCGATCAAATTCATGAATTTTCCCCTTCTCGTGAGCGAGAGAGAGAGAGAGAGAGAGAGAGAGAGAGAGAGGTGACGAGAAAGCAAGAGATCGAAAGTTGGAGAGAGATTGAGCAACACAAATGGCGACAGTTCAAATGCAGAGAGTTGCAGTATCGCCACAGGAACAAGCCAATATTGACGCAGCGAAGAAGAACAGAATTCAGGTTTCCAATACCAAGAAACCACTCTTCTTTTACGTCAATCTTGCAAAGGTATGTTTCTATAGTAAAATAATTTATTTATTTGACAAATGAAGGAAAGAAAAGGAAAATGAAATTTAGTAAAATAATTAATTAATTTTTTAAGCTAATTCTATGGATATACGAAACTGAAATACATTACAAAATTTACTTAAGAATCAAAATCAGAATCATGAAACCACGGAATTCATCGGTTCTTTGAAAGAAAAGTAAGGAAGATGAATGTGGTCTTTCTTAAATCATTCTGGTAAGATGTATATTTCGGGTTTACATTGTTTTTTCTTTGATGCAGAGGTATATAGAGCAGCACAATGAGGTTGAGCTCTCTGCCTTGGGAATGGGTAAATCTTTTCGGAAGAGTTTCTCAGTATGATTTTTTAAACATGTTTTTATAACTCAGCATGCTATAAATTCAACATATTTGATAACTCAACAGAAATGAGTATAATACAAATTTTGTGATTTCATGATTCCGTAGCAACTGCAATATCAGTTTGTATGTGGCCTTATGGTAATGTAGTCATGCACTTCTGGTTTCACATGGTCGCATAATTTTTCCTCTTGCTAGTTTTAATTTCTCAATCAATAGAAACTAGTCTTTCACATGTTGCGATTTGATGAACAACTCCCTACTTGCTCTCAATTGAAAAACTAACAGTGTTCGGAAGCTCTAAATATTTTCTAAATGACTATGCTTCAATTTTTCAACTGTCCACTGGAGTACTGGAAAATGGTATCACAATGTTGGAGAAGATTAGGAGTTTTTTCAGTTACTGTAGATTTCCACTGAAAACAAAATTTCTGGTAGCCAACTGGAAATCTTTTTATGATGAACATTGAATGCCTGCACTTTCCTACTTTGTTGTTCCCACATTCCTGCTAATTTCCTGCACTTTTGTTATTACAGCAATCACTACAGTTGTCACTATTGCCGAGATTCTGAAGAACAATGGACTGGCTATTGAGAAGAGTAAGAAATTTGTCCTCTTAATGCCAAAAAGCATGCAAAAAAATTATGGAGGTAGCTGATTTGGTTATCTTTGTTTGTGGGATTGAACAGAGGTGTCCACATCTACTGTTGGAATGAAAGACGAGAACAGGGGTCGTCTCGTGCAGAAGGCTAAGGTGGGTTTCTTTAGTTGAGGGCTTTTAAGTTGGTTTAATCATATCTTATGACCTTTCCATTTGACTCTGATATCTTTCTTTTTCATTTTTTCATTTTTTAAACTTCTAGATTGAGATTGTGCTGGGGAAGTCTGAAAAATTTGACGCTATAATGAAAATGAATGCCGCTATACTTGCTCCAGAGGCAGTTGCTGAGGCAAAGAAATGACAACAAACGTAGAGCCCTTCCAACAGTTCATTGTTGTAGTTTAACATTCACATTGTTTTTTATACTCTGCCTCAATAGAGATAAGTAGGATAATAGGTAGATAATTTTTTTTTAAAAAGTTGCTAGTATGAAATATTAAAGAGAGTAGAGAAAACAATTATCATAAATGAGATGGCAGTGCAGAGAGAGAGGCTGCGGTGTTATGCTACTCTCTAGTTTCATCCTTTCGCGGAGAATTGTAAAGATCTTCTCTTTTATCATATGTTTCCTTCTAGATTTGTAATGTTTTCATCTTTCCGCACGTAACGTTGATGACTGAATGTCAAAGTGGGAAGAAATTCTCAGATCTGCCTGCTTGATTTGTGTTGGATTTTTTAATTTATATTTTTATAATTAAAAACATCTTAAATTTGGGTTATAGCGTCTATGTGAATTATGAACAGTAGGTTGTTGCTTATGAGAGTCATGCTCTTATGATCTGATCGTTCTAACTTTTCTCGGTCTGAGATTTCACAGAATTACAAAGGTAACTGAAAAGCATATGATGATGGCTTTGACAGTTACTATTGCTTTCAGTAAATGCCAAAGCAGTTTTTCCCTCTACTTAAGTTTCAAGGATGTAGAAAGATCTCATCATAGATTGTAGTTTACTATCACTATGATATGATGGATGAAGTAAGGGACTCAGGCAAGGTCTAAGAAGATTTCTTGAATTGCAGACTAATAAGTATCAGACCTTTTATGATATCCTGCATTCTGATCTTTGCATAAATAGGCTATAAATTAATTTTGATCTTCATATTCCATATCGTTTATTTCTTTTTTTTATAGTTTGTGTCGAGCATATCGGTTATTACTTTGAATGTTTGTACTGATTTCAGTTATGTTGATGACGCAAAACTGCAGAACACACATGCACATTACATGTGTGCTGAGTTTAGACAAAACTCAGCATTGTACTTATTTGCTGGAGGGCTTGTACCTATTTGGTTCAGCCTTAAAACCGGGTGCTGCCTGCTCCCAGAACTCTCTTGATTGAAGTGTAAACAAACGTTTTGGTACGTTATGTACTCGGATAAGGCACAGCGAGTCTTCCAGAAACGCACTCATAAATTTTCGAATGTCGTTTTCTATGGTCAAATATGTAAAAACATCTAAAATGGGTAAATTCTAGATAATTTAGTATTTTATATCATGCATTCTTTCATATGAAATTTGCATGTTGTGGTTCTGAGTAGCAGAACTCTCTTGATTGAAGTGTAAACAAACGTTTTGGTACGTTATGTACTCGGATAAGGCACAGCGAGTCTTCCAGAAACGCACTCATAAATTTTCGAATGTCGTTTTCTATGGTCAAATATGTAAAAACATCTAAAATGGGTAAATTCTAGATAATTTAGCATTTTAGCCCCTTCCATCTTTTTATATCATGCATTCTTTCATATGAAATTTGCATGTTGTGGTTCTGAGTAGGAATTGACTAGATTTTCTCTTTGGAAACTGCTTGGCCACCATTGACGGTTCCCAAGGGTTTATCAACACCTTCTCCTTCTATCGCTATTATATATTCGTCTGTTCCACAATGTCTTCGGATGATCGCCTTAGGTATGGTTAAATCTTGATCTTTGGTAGCCATATGGCCATTGTCAACCTTCTTGAATTGAGAGTTTGTTTTGCATCAAATTTCCATGTTTTTTTGGGCTTGATCTAATTTGATCTTGTTCTCTTTTTTGTGGTGTCCAAAAGGATAGTAGATCTGGTTAGAGAACAAAATAATAGGTCTCTTTGTATTATATTGTCCAAGTGTTGGGTGGATAATTTTGTTTGAATGTTGTGATTGCATGTCATCTATGGAAAATTCCAGTGTGTTCTTTAGTGATTGCAGTGGATGACATTTCAGATGCATTACTTTTAATGTGTTGCTTCTTTATTGAGATTGAGAACAAGCAGATCTGCAGTTGCCATTATATCTAATGAGGTTTATGATGGAAGCTGCGTTTGCCAGCCATTATATAGATTTCGATATATCCATGTGATGTTAGTCATGTGGTGAGCATATCATCGGATTCTGCAAGAACAAGTCGGTGCTTGCTTGCTTGCTTGCTTGTAACTTTGACTTGTTTTGCATTTCGTCATACTCTCCAGATTTTGCATATTTGAGCATTTCAGTTTCAATTATGTTTCAAACACTCAGATACTAGTACCCCTTTCCTTGTGTTTGCTGATAATTGGAAGCATCTGACTGTTTTTTATTCATCAACAGAAAATCTTGTATTTCATCAATAACACATCATGCTCGATTTCAAATCAAATCCACATCCAATGTTCTATTTGTAATTTTAGTTAACGATATATCTAAGAATTCTTTCAACAACAAAAAATATACTAAGAAGGAAAAAGAGATGACTATAGTATTGAGTAATGATATATCCTTGGTTAATACATATATTAAGAATTGAAATGATTAATTAAATGAATTCACATTTTTTCATATTTAAAAAAATTTAAATTAAAAGAAAATTCAGATAATAAATCATATTTTTATGGAACACAATTACCAATTATTTGTTCTATTTGTAATTTTAGTTAACGATATATCTAAGAATTCTTTCAACAACAAAAAATATACTAAGAAGGAAAAAGAGATGACTATAGTATTGAGTAATGATATATCCTTGGTTAATACAGATATTTAGAATTGAAATGATTAATTAAATGAATTCACATTTTTTCATATTTAAACAAATTTAAATTAAAAGAAAATTCAGATAATAAATCATATTTTTATGGAACACAATTACCCATTATTTTTTTAATTCTACGATAAATTTAATTTAATTTATTTAAAGAAAATAAAGCCTCTCGTGGACGCGAAAACGCGTGCAGAGAGGCTAGCGATAAAGAAAGGAAAAAAAGAACAAGAGATGGGTATACTTAGCAAATTCGTGGGGTATACAAAAGAACTACAGACAACAACCCTTGGGCCTTTACTTACTTACCTTCCGCCAACGCTCTCTCTCTCAATTTCTCAAATCAAGATAATTCACTCTCTCCCTCTCTTTCTTTTTTTCGTCTGAATCATTCTCTCCCTGTAAACCCCTTCGAAACCCTAATCCTGCTCTCCTCTTCCCCCTTCGACAATTCGACCCTTCAGTTCCAGATTATTTGGTTTCGTGCTGCTACTATCATTTCTCCTCGTTACCCATGTAAATATGCTTATACTTTTTGTGTGTATTTCTTTTTATTTATTTTTTGCAATTTTCTACGGTTTTAGTGTCGTATTTTCTTCATATGTTTCTGTATATCAATCGTTCACGTTGGTCCGTTATTGGGGTTTTTATTATTATTTTGTTTTGGGATTCTAGGGCTGTTTTTTTTTATTGACAGAATGTTCTTGTTCTTCGTATTTTTATTAATCATGACGTGCTGGCTATTATATTGTGAGAGATACTTTCACTAATCTATGGTTCTGTCACCAGTTTTTCAATTTTACTGTTTTTCTCCATTCTCTTTTTGCTGTCAGCTCCTTCTCTATTTAGGTTGTTTCATATTTTTTTCTTGAAGATTCTTTCTCCCTTTTATCAGAAAACTATTTATGGCTGAAGTTGATAAACTCTTTGGTGAACATGATGGAGAGGAAGTACCTGAGAATGTGACTGAACTTGAGGCTGAGACTGAGGACGCACAGCCACAGGAACCAGAACAGGCACTGGCACTGGCAGAGGAGGAGGCAGACGCTGAAGCATTGGCTCAGGAACAAGAACGTGCTGTTTCACTGGCACAGTTACAAGAACATGCACTGGCACAGTTACAGGCACAGGAACAAGAACAAGAACATGTGCTAGCCCAATTTCAGGCGCAGGAACAAGAGCAGGCACTGGCCCAGTTACAGGCGCAGGAACAAGAGCAGGCACTGGCCCAGTTACAGGCGGAGGAACAAGAACAGGCACTGGCCCAGTTTCAGGCACAGGAAGAAGTAGAAGTGCAAGAGGAGGAGTTGCAAGTGCCTGAACACAACCAAGAGCATCATGAGGATGCTGTGGTTGGTGGAGGCGAGAAAAAGTGGCCTGGATGGCCTGGTGAGAGCGTGTTTCGGATGCTGGTTCCTGCCCAGAAGGTTGGCAGTATAATTGGACGCAAAGGGGAGTTCATTAAGAAAATAGTTGAGGAGACGAGAGCTCGGATCAAAATTCTTGACGGTCCTCCAGGAACAACTGAAAGAGCTGTAAGTTTCTAGTGAACATGTTCAAATGGGATTTAGTAGTGCAAAACTTGTTACTTCTTGTCTCCACCTTGAATGAATTATAATATGTATCTGCTTTTGGTCACTTGGTATATTATGCTTTTACATTGGAATATATTTGGGCATTTATAGTTCCTATGGTTTAATTACTGTGCTAATTTCCTGTGAAGGCAGCTTCCTTGAGGAAAATAAATGTTTGATTGTTGTTGAGATTTCTTATTGCTTATCATACTACGATTGACTTCTAAGTGACTATTACAGAGATACTTGTGCACAGTCTTATGGTGAATAAGCAACATAAGGTGTATAAACAGATGTACCATTGTTCAAACGACCTGGGGAAAGAAAAAGATGAAGTTTTTGGATTTTGACTGTCATTTCTTTAGAAAAGTTACAGGTTAAAAATGTTAGACTAATGCTATTGGTTGATAGTAAAAATATACAATAACTGTCTGTCTTAGAAAATGTGCAACAAAGGTATGAGGCATAACACATATGTTATGTCAACAAACACATTTAAAGAATTTTCCATCTGATGTTGGAGATTCTTGATTGGTGTGACTAGAAATATAATATCTGTTTCTCTAAAAGTTCTAGTGCATTTGTTCATATCCCTCAGTTGTGATATTTTTATAGTTAAATTGTGTACTAAGTGTAGATCTTTTAGGCAAGAAACTTTCACCCAAATGAAAACAATTCACTTTATAAGCTTTCATTAATAACTAGCACTACTATTTTGAAGAGTCTGAAAATCCATGAGAACTATGAAAACAGTGAAGGCAATTAATAACAAATGTGAGTCGCCACTCCTAAATATTGAACTCTAGAATTCTTTTTCTACAAATGTTTAACCAAAAGAAGAGATAAAAGAATCAACATCAAAAGAATCCCCAAAATATTAATGCAGTTCCATTTATTGTAATAACAACAATGAATGTGTGCAGGTTTTTTCGTGCAAATTTTAAGGCAACGAGTCAATCATAAGATCCCAAACTTGAAGAACCAAAGGTCCAGATTGCAGGGATCAGCATTGAGCATTACAATGTGCTGAAAAGTTTATCTGAATAAACACATACACTATTCGAACAATTGTACCATGAAGCTCTGCATTATCTCTGGTAACTTCAGAACCTGGATGATTGATGTCTTCCCGCAGATGGTTTACACCATAAAAGAAACCAATAATCCTCAATAACGTGATACTGAAGAATAATGTTAAATCTTAAGTGTCTTATAAACTGTCCTACATATGTTGAAACTAGATAAGCAATGTAACTAACCACGATCGATTGTCAATATCGGTGAATAAGTAACACGTAAAAACTTATCTCTTGTAGGCCATGATACTGTGGTCTATTAGGATTATGAAACAGATATGGTCATTTTATATTTGGTTGTAAGATGCTTAATAGATATGTTTGCGGTGACCTTTTGGTTTATGATGTGGCTGAATGCTGTGTGGTTCTTGTTTTGTCAAGTTCAGTTTTCAAAGGCCAGTGTTTATTATATGCTGATGGTTCTTTTTATTGCTTTGATTAGGTAATGGTTTCTGCTAAGGAGGAGCCTGATTCTTCTTTTCCTCCTGCAATGGATGGCCTTTTGAGGGTTCACAAGCGGATTATTGATGGTTTGGATGGTGATTCTTCTCATGCTCCACCGGGCATGGGTGGCAAAGTCTCCACAAGGCTGCTGGTGGCAGCTTCACAGGCAGGAAGTTTGATTGGAAAACAGGGAGGAACTGTTAAATCTATTCAAGAATCATCTAACTGCATAGTTAGAGTTCTTGGAGCAGGTCATCTTCCTTGTATTTTGAGTCTCTTATATTTTCCAGTTTTCCAAAATGCTTGTAGACATACAGATAAAAGAGCATCTTATTGTGAGTTCTGCAGAATTCATCATTAGATTACATAATTGCGTGTCTTGTTAGATATGGTTTCCAATGTTATAACATGCAAGGTTTTGTGTCTCTTCAGTATAATCAAATAAACGAGGTTATGGACATGAGATTAGATATTTAGTAGCTGTATTTAAGTTTTGGAGCACCAATATTAGCTATTGAGCATTTGCGTGGCAGCATTCATTGTTGTATTTATGGGATACTACCTATTGTATGATACATAGTTTACATACACTGAAAGTTGGAAGTGTTTTCTTTTTGTTTAAATGTTTACCTTCTTTTAGTCTTGCATTCCTATCTTTGGCTGGACGTATTGTTTTGTGCATGTTTAGTTACCTCGGTTTGATTGCCTGACTGTTTGTTGAATGATTTACTGCAGAAGACCTGCCGATTTTTGCTCTTCAAGATGACAGAGTTGTTGAAGTAGTGGGTGATGCAGTTGGTGTGCACAAAGCAATTGAACTGATTGCATCTCATCTTAGGAAGTTTTTAGTTGACCGCAGTATAATTCCAATATTTGAAATGCATGTAAGTCTGCCTTTTTCTCTCAATTGCAATAATTCAAACCAACTCTCAACATTTGTCTTGAATGAAACACGTGATGATCAATATTTTGTGTCAGATGCAAATGGCAAATCCTCAGATGGAACATGCGCCCCCTCATCAACAATGGGGTCCACCCCAAGGTCTTCCCCACAATGCTGGTGGGGGTCCTGGATTTGGGCCTCCTAATCCCCAGTACATGCCACCTCCTCGGCAGCATGACAATTACTATCCACAAGCTGACATGCCCCCACCTATTGAGAAACAGCCTCATCATGGTATATCAGCCTATGGAAGAGAAGCTCCAATGGGTGTCCACCAGTCATCAAATGCTCAATCAGCACCTTCAATGGTCACGCAGGTTATACTTGTGTTTGTTTTAATTTATCAAACATTAAACTGATGATTACTAGTTCTTTCTAGTAGTCCAAATATGTGAATGATGATGAGTTTTCTTGTTTTTGCAGATCACACAGCAAATGCAAATTCCGCTGTCATATGCTGATGCTGTTATTGGCACAGCTGGTGCAAGTATAAGCTATATTCGACGAGCTAGTGGGGCAACTGTTACAATACAAGAAACTAGGGGTGTTCCTGGAGAGATGACTGTTGAAATCAGTGGAAGTGCTTCCCAAGTCCAAGCAGCTCAACAACTGATACAGGCAATGCACCTTCTCCTGGCATTTGATTCTTTTATCTTAATCATGCTTTCTAGCTTATTAGATTTTTGTGAGTTAATAATAGGATTATGGGCAAACAAACTCAAGGTGGTTTGTTGGGTATTCTGTTGTATTATCATTTAGTGCATTAGCTCTGTTGGAAAGCTTCTGCTATTGTTAGTGTTGATATAATATATACTAGCCTAAAAGTTTTTGTTCAGTTTGATAGTGCAGAGACTTGACAGTGCTTTGTGTTTTTGTTTGTAGAATTTCATGGCTGATGCTGGAGCACCGCAGCCGACACAAACTGCTGGCTCTGTGGATCAAGGTTATAATTCCTATGCAGCTCATGGTTCAGTATATTCATCTCCCCCATCCAATCAAGGACATGCAGGACATACTGGTGGCTATGGCTCAGTCTATGGCTCACATTATGGGTACTAGATAGGAACCTCAATTTGGTTTTGTCAAAGAGAGACTAAAATCGTTTATTGTTGTGACTCGGTCAATCAGAGAGTAGTTTCTTTAGGGCAGTTGTATCGATACTGTGCTTTAACTTTTCAAACTTCGTTTTTGAACTAGTAAAATGTCAGATTTATCGTGTTCATTAGCCTAATCTTGTTCTTAATAATTGCCCTTTTCCTGCTGATGCATTTTGTAGCATACGCTGCATACCAAAACTGGATAAATGTTTTCAGAGTCGTGATGTGACATTAAAAATATTTAAAAAATAATTTTTACATGGGTCCTTTGGTAGTTTTATTGTTAATGCACTTTTAGGCTTCGCTGATTAGTTTCTGAGTTTGTTTCCTGTCTTTCCAGTTGGGAAGTTCGAAAAACTTAAAAGGAATCGGACAACAGTAAGTAGGTTGACAAAAATCAATGGAAATAATGATGAGAATATTTAGTGATTGGAAATTATGACAAACTCGTTTTTAGTCTTATGGTATTTCTCATTTCAATGTTGGAAGATGTCACGAGTTTGAATCCTCTCTACCTGGTCGAAAAAAAGTAAGTGATAGGAAACTATGGGTCACCATGCATTAGGTTGACAGAGATGAGAAGAATCGATCATGGGAAAAGTTATAAAAAGGCATCCCGTGCTGCTACTATGAATTTTCCCAAGGACATTATAATTCTGGCATTAGGTAACTTGGGAAGCATCTGTTTTATTAAGGAAATGCTTTCAAGTAAAATCAAGTTTTATTTTTTCCTTTTTTGGGCCAGGCAGTAGAATAAAGTTGGAATGTCTGTTTTCCTTTCACAATTTTCCTTGTGTTGTAGATCACAGAATTTAGTGGATAAATAGAGAGAGGTTGGTGGTTTCGCACCAGACAGAAACCCCATGACGATTCTTTTTAGACTTGTAACTCTAAAAGCAGTGGATTATTATTCAACCTGATTCTGTTTGTCTTCTGCCTAAACTTTTCATTGCTTTACGCTTTGAATTAAGCTTCATGTCATGTAAAATAGCTGGAGAGAACATAACCCTTTGAATTTCTAGTGCTGTCTGTATTAGGTGTATTTGTAAGGATTTAATTTTCAAACCGAAGAAAATTCTAAGCTGAAAGCGTGCGAATATTTTCCAAACATTGCATCATTTAGAGAAAATTAGAAACTTCTCCCTCCAGTTCGTTTTATATTGTTTTAAGTTCTCCTTCATTTCCATTTATGCAGACTATAAACAGTGACCTCTCCATCCCTCACAACACAAGTTAACTGTCTCCTAATTCTGCCACTTTCATATTTTCAGAACTTTGCTCCCTTCCAAAGTTCTCACACATATCAATGGAAAATAGTGAAGATGGCTCAAACTCCAAGGGTATGTGTGAGAAGATCTTCAGTTCTCTCTGCCTAAATTTTCAAACAAATCATCACGGTCACGGACACCACAAACTAGAGCCAACTCCTACCTCTGCTGCCCCAAACACTTCACTGCCAGTGCCAACCCATGATCATACTGGCTATTCTAACAGTGTCCAGATCAAACTAACCAATGTGTCTGGAGCTGAACCTGCGCCAACTGGAATGCCACAAATGCCAAAGGCAGAGATGAGCATGGCCAACAATGATGCATTCTCTGAGTACATTAATCGCACAAAATTTAAGATTAGAGCTATGTCCTCTAATGTTGGCATCGAGAAGGTTGCTTCCAGAGCAGGTGATGTTTATGAAACAAAGCAAGACGATAATGAAAAAGATATGTTTACGGATTTTGTTAATCGCGCTAAGTTTAAGATTAGAAAGACATCTAGCATTGGAAGCAGAAGGAATATCTCCTTTAAGAAGTAGAAGACTCCAAGTCTACAACTATACGAGGTCTTGATGAATAATGGCATGGTGGTGATTGCCAGTAAATGATCTCTCTGTTCTTTTGCAGGATAAGCTAATCGAGGCCAGCATGTTCATTAATTTCTCTCTCTCTCTCTCTCTCTCTCTCTCTCTCTCTCTCTCTCTCTCTCATATTTCTGCCCTGGTAGCATATGCTATACAGGTTTTGTGATGTTATTGGATTTTCCTGTATGTTCTTCTTGAGTCAATTATATTAAATCGTTTGTTCTTCAAGTGGTTCTTGACCTCATGTGCTATTATATATCTGCTCTTTTGGAGCAAACTGAGCGTCACGAACTTCTGATGATGATGTTAGATTGAAGAACATCCAATCGATTTACTACCCATTCGAGTAGTCTAACATGCATATCATGTGATTTAGGAAAAATGTGAGTGCATTATTTGACTGAAGTTGAGACTTCCTAACAGTGTGATTTCACTGTCTGTTTGAAGCTCATCTGATATTTCTCCATGCAATCACACAAGGGAAATAACACTTTAAGCGGACCAGCAATTATTGCTTATTTATTATCCAGTAAAATAAAACATCTACATATGATCATAACATTAAAACAAAATAAAAAATCACAATGATATTAACTATTATTCTAGTTTTGTTTCTTTCTGGACCAAAGCTATCATGTTCTGTATAATAATACCTAGAGAATGTTGGGGTGTGCTTGTTGGGTTCCACTCTATTAACAAATTAGGCGAAGAGAAACTGAGAATATGATCCCATGCAGCACTTCATTTGAAATAAAATAAAATAATCATAAGCTTCTGCATTTACTATTTTAGGCAAAACTCTCTCTTCATTTCTGCATATGTTTTCAGTTTTCAAGCAACCAGCACAAGGACATGCTCTCAAGATTCTCAATTACCCCATCTTACAAAAAGGTTCAAGGTCTCGTCCTCTTTTTCCATACTTCATCTCCGAAACTTAGAACAAGCTTGCTCATTTCAATTTTTTTCATATCAATGGGAAAGAGTCAGCATAGCTCAAACTCCAAGTGTTTCTGCAAGAAAATCTTCAGCGTTACCTGCCCGGTTTGTAAACTGGCACCAACTCATGTTTCAGCGCAGGAGAAAAGCAAGGTTAAGGCAGAGATGCCTCCACCAACAAGGGTTCTTGCCGAGCCAATTCATGTCAAGGCTAATTCAAAAGTTGAGAAGCAAAATCCCAAACTAGAGGCACAACTTACAAAATCAATTAGGACAGCAAGTTTGGGTTACAATGATGCATTTTCTGACTACATTAGTCGAGCAAAAATCAGGATCAGAGCTATGTCAAATGTTAGCATGGGAAAGACTGCCTCCAGATCTAGAGATGATGAATATGATACAAAGAAAGAAGATAACGGCAAAGATACATTTTCAGATTACATTAATCGTGCAAAGATGAGGATCAGGAAGACATCAAGTATTGGAAGCAGAAAGCTTATCTCCTTCAAACGAGAGTAAGGAAGGACTAAACATGGGAGCTCAACTGTTTGCTTAGAGGATCTTGACCTACAATGACAGTGACCGCCCGCAATGACTATGCAGCTTCTGCTTAAAGTCTTGATGAATTACTTAATAAGGGTTGTGTTGGTGATTCCAGAGATTGTATTGCTTGTTTTGTTTGAATGCTTAAGCTGTATTATTTTTTGTAATTTCTGTTCTCCTTCTAAATAATATGGTTCCTTACTTGTGTTAATTATGCCTCAATTATTTTTTTAGTTGTACTAAACAATTCAAGGCTATGGTTTATCTGCCCTCAGTTAACCTAGTCCTGATGCCATCTGACACCTTTAGCCTAATATTCAAGGTTAACAAACAGTATTAGTTTATGGCTACAGAATTCAGCCTTAGCTATTAATTAAAGGATCTTTGTGAGTAAGTAAATTGGTATTAGGTTACCAAAGAAGCATCTTGACTTCTGGGACGAAAGTGAATCCTTATTGGCTAAAAGCAAGTTTAAGGTTCTCTTAGAATGGTTTGCCACCAGAAAGTAATGATTCTTTCAAACTTCAAATTATTTATGATGAGTGGAAATCACGTTTTCGTGCGGGTAGCAACATGAATACTAAGCAGATTCCTGCCTCTAAATATTAATAAACCACCGGAAGATAGCCTTGATGCTTTCTTGAAGTCATCTAGTCTTTCTCCCCAAGAAACTGACCTGTCATGTTGTGTAAAACTGCTGGAGAGCATCCCAGTCTCGTCAAGTCGATTGTGCTACATGAAGTGTGCTTGCGAGATTCTATTTTGTGAAGAAGATCATGACACATTGAGTGAGAATATGATCCCAAACATCATATCAGTTGGAAAATATGAAAAAAGTCTACTTTATAAAGAATATTAGCCACATGTTTCTCTCTAGTTTCTTTCATCCAACACTGAATTTAACCCAAAAGAAAATTGAAACTCTATTTCTTTTCTTTTCAAATGTTTGCAGCTCCCTTATAAAGATGTGATTTACCCCAAAGCTTTGTTATTTCATATCTCTACTTTGCTCTCTTCTTTTGGGCCATACACAACAAAGCCCCCCATTTTTCCTCCTATCCTACTCGTTCAAACTCCATGTCAGGGTGTGGGAAAATTTGCAGTGCATTATGCTGCTCTACTGGTCAAACAAATGATCCTCATCACCGCATGTCCAAACCTTCACTAACAACCCATGATCACAAAGCTCAGAAAGCTAATGATCATCATGTTTCCAAGCCATCATCAGAGCTCGAGACCAACGACCGATTTTCTGACTACATTCACCGCGCAAAGAAGAAGATCAGACATTCTATGACGAATCTTGGCGGTTCCTCCAACTCCAAAGCAAATAGTGTGCATGATACAAAGAATGAGGAGGCTGCCAAGGACACATTTTCAGATTATATCAAACGTGTCAGGAGTAAGATAAAAAAGACGACCAGTAGCAATGGAAGCAGAAAGAGTTTGAAAGGAAAAACCGGGTAGCCTCCAACTTCAGTAAAAGATGTTGAAGAATCCTGGTATCGATTATTCCCGCAATAATTTTATTGTGTATGTCAATTTGGTTTGTCACTGTTGGAATTGATGAAATGGTTGTTGTTGTTGTTGTGAAATTAAAATAATTTATTGAGCTCAGTTGTGTTGTTATAAGGCTCTGCTCTTATTTTTCAAACTTCAATTCGGAAGTATTGTTTTGTTTGTGTTCATTAGGATAAGTGGAGATTAATAAATTCACTCTCTGAATTTCCCCTCTTTTAATTCACTGTTAACCTTAAATGAATGAGAATGGCTATCAAAGTAGTCGTAGAAGATTTTGCCACAAGAACCTACAAAAAACCTTTCATTAAAAAACCCTTTGATCGATCAGAATTCCAATCTCATCGTATACTAACTGTTACTAACTCGTTTAAACAAAAATTCAAAAAACCCCAAGTCTTCAATTCAGAGGAATAAGCTATTATAACCCTACGCTAATTACTCAGCAAACGAGGTATGCATAAACTTGGTGGATGATGGGCCAATGAACCTCATGATGATTGCCGTAATACCTGTTGATCCATGAAGACCTATGGATGGATCAGAGGCAGATTCAATTATACCGAACAAATCAACCGTTTTGGTAACAATTAACATCAACATGAAGAATTTTCTAGAGATGATTTTGAAATGGTATTTTAGAAAACAAATTATTCCTATTACGACACGTGTTTTATGGTGAAGATTTATTAATCACAATAGAGTGGGTTGTCCTTTTCGGAATTACCCATCAATGTAGACCTACCTTGAGAATCAAGATGCATATAAATTGCAAAAAACTCTTATCAAAGTAGGCAACCATTAGAGAATGAAAAGCATTAACGTAGGTGATAAATGGAGTGTGTTTAAACTTTAATTGGAATTAGTTAGAGTCAGAATGTTCATTCAAGAAAAATCACATGCCTAATGAATTAAAGATGCATAGATAAGTTAAAAAAAGATTACTATGAATTAATGTTGCGACAAAAATTATTTGTATTTATGCAACCCACAAATGTTTGGCTTGGCCTTGGTTTCGGTTTCTTCTTCTTTTTTTTCGTTGTTTGAGATCACTTGTGGGAGTCATAGGTAACTTTATACGACATGTCGCAACAAAGGCTATGACTAATTTGTTGTTGGACTATTATAAGAGGACGGCCCAATGCGAGTTGAAACCCAGGACACGCGGCCGAGTCCAGGGTCAAGAAGAGGCAATTAAGCAAACCAAAACGACATCGCAGATCTGCGAAAATGAGAAATGATACACACAGAGAAGGTTAGGGTTTCCTGACCTTCTTTGAGTGTGTCTCATCACTCATTTTCGCAGATATGTCGGAGAAGAAAGGCTCCTGCGGCCGCACAATGTCATTGGCTCTGTAATCGGAGCCTTCGTTGGAGATCAGAGACATGAGCGTGAAGAAAGAGAGAGACGACGAGACATGCGGATCTCAATCAAGCAAAACAAGCGAAGCTCGACCAATGCGATTCTTCTTTTGCGAGGTTTAACGCCTCGATGGCCGCCATGGATCCACGATCGGATCCGTTCAAGAGCTTACAGTTGAAATCGTGCAGCAATTAACACCGACACCAGAGATCTGATGGGGCTAGGTATGGGGGTTCCAGGACCCGTCAAAGTTGATTTTGAAATTTAGGGTTTACTTAGGTTTATGGCTTACCGAGATAATTGATTTTGGTTTGATGGAGCGATAGGGCTGAGGACTTAGTACATCAGTCTCTAATTCAATGCATTAATGCGTGGTCTGTTTGCTTCCATTCCAGGTACTCCATGGCAGCTTGCTCAAGGTGCGATGTCGATTGATAGAGGCACAGACAGCGGGTCTTCCATATATCGTTAAGGTTTTACTCCCTGCTCATTCAAGCATGTAGATGTTTTTCTTTTTTTAAATATCATTTTTTGTTTAAAACGGATACAAAATGAACAAAAATAAGTTTTCAGGGGCAAATAGCATGGTATTGATGAAAACTTGAACCATATATCTGACAAAAACAAAATTGGCACACTTGAATTGAATGATAGAATGGGAGCGCTTTGAAATAGCATATTTTTGTTGAATGATGTATCAGCTAGAGGCATGATACGAGGGAGTGGGAATGGTATCTTACATATAGAATCGGAAACATTGTATACATCAGTGATACACGGTTGTGTGGTGAATTTAAAAGTAATCATTTGTAGCAAAATCTGATGGTCTAATAACCGTCCATAACTAGACTATTCCACCACTTGGTGTTCCAACAAAAAGAGAACAT